GGCGGGCCGGGCTCTGTCGCGCTCCGAGGCTCCGGGGCGGGGTTCTCCTCGGGCTCCGGGGAGTCCTGCAAGCACACGCCCGGGGGTCAGCGGACAGTCCCCCGGTCTGGGAACGCGCCTGGTGTTCCAGGGCGCTGGGAATACCGAGGGGGAAGGGGACACAGTTCCCCCCACACTCCCACCTCCTGGAAGGCTGCAGACGTAGGTCTGGTTTTTCTTGGAAAACGGGACACTTAGCATGGTGCCTGGCAAATAATAGGTGCTCATTAAATGTTAAAAGGCATTGAGTGTTTTGTCCACGTATTCTCCTCTTTCCACCTGCGTTGGACACCGTGGGACAGAGTTGGTTGTGGCATTGTGGGGAAATCACCTGGGTTTAAAGCCTAGGTCTGCTACTTATTTACTCGTTTGATCCTCGGCAAGTCATTTCACTTTTGTCAGCCTTATTTTCCTCACGTCTAAAGTGGAGCTGACACAAATATTCCCCATGGTTATTCTGAGTACTATGAAGGGATATCTTTATGGTGTGCCTACCCAGGACCAGAACGTGGTGGGGGCTGACTGAGTGTTTGTGGGGCGCCCAGCCCCAGGCAGCTCACCTTGTCCTTCAGGATGTAGAGTGCCATGGGGTTCTTCCGCTCATGCTCTCCACTTCGTGGGAGGGTGTCTGCTGCACGGAGCAAAGAATGGGGTGGCTGGCCCAAGCACAGATCCCTTTCCACCAACCAGCACCTACACTTTGCTCCCCAGTGGCCTGGGAAGGTCCCGCCACAACCTCCACCAAAGGATCCGGAATACCCGGGGTCCTACCTTGGCCGCTCCTCTCCCTGCTCTGCAGTCTTCGTGCAGTTGGTGGAGGAAGGGGCCCTGCAGAGCTGGCTTCCTTGTGGCCCAGTTCTGCTTTTCCCAGCAGCCCACTGATCTGAGTGAAGATGGGATGGGTGAGTGGGTGGCTGGGAGCTCACCTTCTGGTTTCAGGCGGTCATCATTCTGATCTATGTATTCCAGCGAGTTTTGCTTCTCCAGCTTCCTCTTCTTCCTGCAGATCAAACCAGCACCCTGTGAATGGAGCTGCTGAGTGTGAGCAGGAGAAGTTCTGGGCGTGGGGACACAGAGGGGATCTCATGGCCACACAAGAGGCCTTGTAACAGGAAGACAGGGTGGGTGCAGTGGGAATGAGACCAGACCAGAGCTTTGGAATGCGTCACAGCTAGGTGTGCACCCTGAGTCTGTCCCTAGCATTGTGACTGTGGGCAAGTCATTTAATCAACCTAAGTCTCAGGTCATTATCTGTGAACTGCAGATAATGACACTTAAAAGGTAGTGTGCTAACCACAAACACAGCACCTGGCTCACAAAAGGTGCCATTATTTTTTGTGAAACCATTATTAACTGTGCTGGGCTTGTCGGGGTTGTGAGCACATGATGTGACTCCATTAACAGCACATGCAATGGTGAAATGGACCTCCTGGAAAGGGGTGAGGGGAGGAAAAGCATTTAAAGAGACACAAGGAAGAATAGAGCTTGGGGTTGGGCTAGATTGAATGGTTAAGGTACACAGGGAGTGGAACTTGGAGAGTTACCCAGACTTTTTGGAGGGTTTCCAGCAGGCACAGACTGTCACCAAGGTCACAAGGAGGAAGATGCCTCCTGTGGACAGGATGATGTAGAGGGAGCTTCTTCCTAGGGAGAAAGAGAGGCAGAGGTGGGAGAGACTTCAGAGTGGGTAATGGGTATGGTGAGGAGAGGTTCCTTTGGCTGAAGGAAGAGGAGCCCCAAGCAGCACAGCTGGCCAGTGGTGGACCTTGCCTGGAGTTCACTTTGCACCTGGTGCTGTCCTCTGCGGAGCATTGCGCTCTCTGCCCCCTCCCCCTCTGGTGGCATTCTATCTGAAACGTCCTCAGCCGCTCATGGGCACCTGCCTCTCAGGGTTTTGAGTCCCCATGGAGGGCAGCAGGGACACTCACTGTATACAGTGATCTTGACGGGTGGGCTGCGGCCCTGGCTGATGGGGTTCTCCACCACACAGCTGTACAGGTCATCGTCCTCCATGAGCACGCGGGTGATGGTGAGTACTTTTTGGTCCGGGGACAGGAGCATTCGTGAGTCATTGAGGAGAGGCTTACCATCCTTCAGCCAGGTGTAGCTGGCCTTGGTGCCATTCTCATGTGAGCAGTTCAGGGTGAAGCCCTCGCTGAGCTCCAGCACTGTGGTCGAAGCCACTGACACCTGTGGCCTCGAAATGGGCACTGAGCCCAGGAGAGAGGAGACTGTGAGCCATGGGCCAAAATGCATCTCCCTTCCCCTTCTCAACTGCCTACCTTCCAGTTCAACCTGTGGTCTTCAGAGATCATCAGTCTAGTTCTTTGCCATCATCACCCATCCACCCATCCACCCACCCATCCATCCATCCATCCATCCACCCACCCATCCATCTATCCATCCATCTAACCACTCCCTCATTTATTTACCAACTATTATTGGGCACCTTTTGAGCACACAGGGCACAATGCTGAACAAGACAGCTGTGGTCCCTGCCTTCATGGACCTTCCCTTTCCTTCCCAGGTGCCTTTCCAAGATGTCTTAAACTGACCCAGCCTAGAAGTTATTTTAGTTGAGCTAAGCTCATGTCCAACTGGGTTCAAACACTGTCTCTATAACTCACTAGGTGCATGACCTTGGGCAAGTTATTCAACCTCTTTGTACCTCAGTTTCCTCACCTGTAAAATGGGAACAATAATATTAACTATCCCTAGATTATCATAAGCTTTAAATGAGTCAATATATGCAAGGCACTTACAGTAGTTTCTGGCATATGCTAAGCACTCTATACATGTTAGTTGTGGCCTGTCAACCTCTAACGTCTAGTTGGCTCACTCTCAGCCCCCGAGTGGCTTCTGTGCTGGTTTCCTGAGATCTAGCTAGTGCACTGGGCAGATGCAGCCCCATCCTAGTCCCCAGTCCCGCTTCCTTCCCTGCCAGAGCACTTTACCATCCACAGTGAGGTTGATGGTCTTCTCCCCAGTGAAGGTGTCATCGGTGATGGAGATCTCGACCTCATAGGTGCCCTCGTCGGCCAGCTGCAGGTCGCTGAGAAGCAGGGAGCCGTTTTCGAAGAGGCGGATGCGGTCTCGATAGTCAGGCCGCAGGGTGCCAATGACCTCTGTGCCGATGGACTGAACCACAGTCACCGGCTTGTCCCGCTTCAGCTGCCACTTTACCACGGGCTTGTCACTGCTGGTGCTGCTGTACTGCACGGAGAGCAGGGCCGCCTTCCCCACTGTGCCGTGGATCAAGCGCACCGGGCTGGTGATGTTCACCCCCTCCAGGGGCTCTGTGAACAGAGAGGCCCATGGGGAGAAGGCAGCATCAGTCCCTGGCTCCTAACTTCACTTCCATCTTTGAGTCCTCTGGTCTCTCCATGCCTCACCCTGCTGGGCCCTTTATGCCCTGCCAGTCCTTCCTTCTTACCCACTGGTGCCATCTCCCTCCCACTGTAGCTCTGGCCCCTCTGCTCCTCCATCAGCCCTCACATCCATCCCATTGCCCTCAATCCTCCTTCTATCTGGACCTTTGCCTCTGGCGGTTTTCCCCATTGCCTCCGTCTTGAGGCAGATTCCTGCTAACCCACGCCCTGTGTGGTCCATTTATTTATCGAGTTCTTCCCATTCTATGTCCTCAGAATATATCCATGAGCAAAATGGACAAACAGCTCTACCCTATGAAACTTAAAGGTCATTAGCCCTCAGGGTGAATTTGTCAGATTTTTCTCCTGGGCTGGGCCTGGGGAGAGTGGGGGATGGAGAAAGTATGGAAATGTCGATTCACAAAGAAAAGAGCGTGTTTCAAGACAGTGCCAACAGAAGGGAAGTTTAGGGGCCTGAAGACAACTGAACCACTCCAGTCACACCAAGCTCTCCCCTGTCCTTGCCCTGGCCATGCATAGCATCTTACGAGGCCTGCCCAGGGCAAGACAGTCCTGCAACTGGGTAGATGGTTTTGGAAATTCACCCTAACTCCTGCCCAATTTGCATCCCTGTAGAAGGGGGATTTGGGATGGGTCAAATGAAGAGTTTAGAATCAGAAGGCCTTGTAAAATTGGGCTCCACCAGTTACTGGCTGTGTGGATTTGGGCAAGTCACCTTTCCAGGCCTCACTCTTCTCTTTCACAAAATAAAAATGACAACATTAGCAAGAGAAACTGCCTTTTAAAGTCCACAGTGCAAAAACACAATGTGTACGTCACTTACTGCACTGCAGTGGAGAGAACACAGGGCGGAACATCAGAGATTTGGGCCCTACTGTTTACTTAGGACCCAGGAGAAGTTGCTTATCTGTTTGAGGCTCAGATTTCTCACAGGTAGATTGAATGGTAACCTAGAGGTCTCAACAGTTCGTTCCAGCTCTGAAATTCTGGGATTTTACCATCTTGGCCAGTGATGGCCACATCCAGAGTCATATCTCACATATCAGAGATTTCTAAGGAGCTTTGGGCCCTGAGCAGATGCTGTTCGTTGGTGTCATTTGGCTTTGCAGAGGAATACAGCCACCTGAGGGATGGGATCTTCTAGAGAGGAGGTCAGTTGAGAACAGGGTTGAGTTTACTAAACAGACACACTCATGTCAGGTTCTTGGTCCCTCTACACTCCCAGCTGCTTCCTTTGACTGTCATTGCATCTGAAATTCCCTCTCTCTTTTTTACTCCTATGTCCCACTCTGCTACTGCTGCAGTGTAGACTTGGGGAAGCAGAGCTCTACCTTTCCAAACCCTATTCCTCCCTTTGTGCCTGGAAGACCCAGACCGAACCAGGAGGCAACGAAATGAAAAGGTTAGTTGTGGAGATCAAAGCAGATTTAATTTAACAAACATATCCAATCCATTTTTAGAACAACTGCTTTGCTAAGTAGTGAGTTCATCATCTTTGGAAGTGGTCAAGGAAAGGCCAATTGACTGTTCTTTCACTTCTCTGTGCTTCCATTTCCTTGTCTGTATAATGAGGTTGTGGGACAAGATGATCTCTAGGGGGCCTTCCCAACTGTGACATTCTGTGATTCATTACCTGCTGAGTGTGTCAGAATCATAAACTCTTAAGTGTGGAAGAGACTACTCTAATGATGAAGCCACCATATGCATAAATATTTTATGCTTGTTATTGAGAGGAGTCTTAACTGGGCGGAGGTAGAATGGACAAAAATCAACTATTTTCAAATATATTTTATTAATGGTAAGTTTGTTCCCACAAAACTTTATATAAATTGGAAATGAAATTTAGTTCTAGCTCATCTGATTTGGTAGAAGAGGTGGTGAGGACCAGCCTCATATCTTCGGGTGCTACTAGGAATCCCTATGGCTCTGTGTGTCAGACTGAAATCCATTTGGCTATCTGATCCTTAAGGTTTCTCCAGCTCTTCGTTTCTGTGATTATTTGGATGAGATTTCTTCCTAGCATCTGCTAGGTCCCAGACTTGTTTTGATTTAGAAACACAAATTTTCAAATTTCCCTGAATAGGCAAATAAGGTTTGGTAGGTGTGACTTGAGGTGGCCCTGGAAAAAAATCATTGATCTTTATTAAAGGCCAGGGTGGGAACATCTACCCCGCTTCCTCAGGACCCAGCCTGAAGCAGGGGTCCTGTCGGCACAGGAGAGTGATATATGCAGGGCCACCCTGAGGTTTAGCGACCACAAGCACCAAGGTTCTCATTTCCTCCTTCCAGGAGGCTGGACAGTGACAGTCTCAGCCCCAAGGAAAAGTGGAAGGAACTTCCCCCCTTTCTTCTCTCTTCTCTGGTCCCCTCTTGAGTTTCCATTGCATCCACTCTCTCCCATCCTGTACAAGGTACTAGTAGTGATTTTGTGATGTTTTTCCCCCTCAAGTCTGCTCTTTCTACTGATTTAAACTCCTGGATAAAACCATTGGAGAAGCTACAGCACACAGGTTGCCCAGGTGGGCGCCTTCCTCGTTCCTGTGAACAGGGTGTGCCCACGAGTCATATGCTCCACGAGTCATATGCTCCAAGAGTCGCAGGGATTCCGCGTGTTCAGAAGTGCAGGGAGCAGTAGTTCTCAGAAGCTGACAAAGAGAGTGTTTTGCTGCGCAAACACTGTTTCCCGAAACTCTAGCCAAAATTGGAGTTGGTTTTAAGTTCAGGGTTCCACAACTTTCAAGGGACACAGAGAACTGGGACAGGTGCCAAGGCAGGACACAGAAATGAGGAAATGGCTAAGGACTGCGATCCACAGTGGAAATAAAAGGGACTAGGACTACTCAGCCTTGAGAAACGATTAACTTAATCATCGTCCTCAAGTCTCTGAGGCATCATTAGGCAGAAAGTCTCTGCTCCCGCTGGAGGCTGACCAAGAGGAAATTGACCTCGCAGCCAGAAGTACATCTCAACCTAAATTGCCACACTCCATCAGGTAGGTGGCCCCTGTCAAGTAGGAGTTCGACCTGCTGTGACGCCAAGGAATGTCAGGCTTTAAAGTATAAGAATGTATCTGCCAATAGCCTTGGCGGTCCCTTAATAGCCCCTTCCTTTAAAGAAACCATCATCCACTCATTTTCATGTGCTCCTTTTTGCTTGGCAAAGTTTTCTTTGACCAGTATTTGCCTTAAATTTACCTTTTAATGTTTGAAAGTTTCAGTGAGATAGTGCCAGTTGTGTGTATGCCTAACCCACCCACGCTAACCCCACGGACAGCCCTTTTCATCTTGAAGGGCTTTTTGTTTGTTTTGTTTGGATCTGTCTCTGCAAGGAAGTCCCTCCCTCCCTTTGGCCATCATAGATGACCTTATTTGGGCTTTCTTCAACTCCATGATTTCTTTTTTGAGGTGTGGTGACCAGAACTGCATACAATAACCCAAGGGCAGCACACGCATGGTTTCCTAAAAGGAAAAAATATTGCCTTCTGCTTTTGGTTTTAAAATTTTCTTCTTAATGAGTTAATAATAAAGGATATTAAATGCTCTGAGAAGACAACCCCCCTCCTCTGTCTCTGTTGCATAAGGGCGTCCTTGGGAGGGTTATGGTGTTGTATTCTTATGCTATCACGTTGAGACCTACAAGAGTGTGAAATCATGTTAAGTGTCAATCACCCAGGAATAGAAGAGAAAACTAGGGAACAGAAATTGTAAAGAAGGCCCTTGGGATCCAGGAAGAGAGGGGTAGCTTTTTATCTACACTCAGAAGAGCTGTAGATGTTCAGTAATGTGTACCTAGCTAGTAGGTATTAAGATGGCACAAAGACATTACTGTGTTTTTGATTGGAATAATCATTATTATTAAGCTGTAACTTCTTCCAAACCGACTTGTACATTTAAATACAATATCAGTCAAAATCCCATGAGGTTTGCTTTGTGATATTGGCACAGGGAGTGACAAGAAGATCAATGGATTGAAATAGTCCAAAAACAGACATATAGGATTGCTTGACTTATGACAAAAGTGATGCTGCAGTGAAGTGGAGAAAGACTTTTTTTTTTTCAATAAATAGTGCTGGGCTGTGTAGGAAAAAAATGAATCTTGACCCTTACCTCACATCTCACACAAATAGCAATTTTAGGTGGATTGTAGATCTAAATGTGAAAGTTAAAACAATAATGTTTTAAGAAGAAAACATAGGAGGGCAGACAGACACAGATTTCTTGGCAAAAGTAATACCCATAAAAGAAGAAAATGATACATTGGACACAATAAAACTAAGAGCTTCTGTTTGTCAAAAGACACCATTAAGAGAGTAAAAAGGCAAGCCATCGGGTGGCAGATATTTGTAATACAGATATCCTATAAATGACTCACCTAAAACATATATTTTAAACTTCTACAAATTAGTACTTTTTTAAAAATCCAGAAAACTCAACAGAAAATGGGCAAAAGACTTGGAACAGGTGCTTTACAAAAGATGATTTCTAAATGGCTAAAAAAGATAAGGAAAAGATACAACTTATTAATAATAATGGGTGAAAATGCAGTTTTAAACCATAATTTGATACCACGTCATACCCACTAGGATAGCTGAAATAAAAAAGAGAAGAGACAAATACTGGTGAAGATGTGGAGCACCTGGAACTCTCATGCTGGTGGGAATGTAGATTGATACAAGCACTTTTGAAAACTCTGGCCACGTCTACTATAGGTAACCACACACTTATAGCTCAGCAGTTCTACTCCTGAGTCTATCCCCCAAAGAGACGTGTGTATCTGTTCACCAAAAAACATCTACTAGAATGTTCTAACAACTCTTATTTGCAAAACTCCAAACTGTAAACAACCAAAGTGTCTATCAAAACTAAATAGAGAAATAAATTGTGGTATATTCACACAAGGGAATAGAATACAGCACTGAGACCAAACGAGTTACAATTTCAACAACAATGTGAATGACTCTTACAAAATTTGGTGTTCTTACATAAAAGAATGCATACATATGATTCTGCTCTTATGAAGTTCAAAGATTTGAAAATGAATCTATATTACAAGTTAGGACACCCCTGTAACCCTGGAGGGAAGGCAGTAGTAACTGAAATAGTATGAGGGTGTCTCCAAGGTGCTGAAATGTTCTTTTTCTTGATCTCAAAGACTGATTAAATGAGTATGTTCACTTTTTAAAGCTTCATCAAACCGTATCCTTACGCTAAATGCACTTTGCTGTATGTAATTTTCAATTGTAATTAAAAAAAAAAAGGCAGCAACTATAATGTGGAGGTGATCTTAGGGCTAAAAGGGTGGAACTCAGGCAAGGGACTTCTTCCTACTGGGTCCCGAGAGGATGGAACAGCTCTAGGATCCCAGAGAGGAAAATCTTGCGAATCAGATTATCTAGATTTATGGCATGCTTTGTTTATGTCTGTAAATTAGTGTCCTAGACCCTAGAAAAGCCTTGCTTGAATGTTCCATGAATAGGGCTGTGATGAATTTAGGAAAGCCCCATTAGTCCATATTAGGGACAGAGCACTAAAGACTGAGTGTTACTTGCCTGAGATTGCTGCCATACAGAGGAAAACAAGGGATTAAGGTAAGCTTCTGGGAGCCAGGGCCACACGGTCCAGCCCCACTTTTACTGCTAATCTTAAAACTACATTTCCCAGCCTCCCCTGCAGTTAGGTATGGCTGTATCACTAAATTCTAGCCATAAAACTAGTAAAAGTGGTGGGTACCTTTTTTTTTTTTTTTAAATCCTCTACCTAAAAGAAATGGAGATGGAGATAAATCTTAGGGGACCATTGAAAACACACGTCAAAGTTGACAGACCAAGTCTGGATTTTGGATTTTGTCACAAAAGTTGATATTCTCTTAACATATTGAGGGTGGCAGAAGTTCCTTATAGAATCTCAACTCATTATTGCTCTTGAGTCCACGGCAGCACCATGGCCTGACCCTGCTACCTACCACTCATCTGTCATAGGTCATAACTGATATCTTATTGGCACAGTTTACATTTAGAATATTTTTGGTTATACTTATTAAGTTACATTTTCCCACATGGAAGATCCTTTGTCACCTTTTGTTTTGTCTAGTCGCACTGACTGCCAAGATCCTTCTGTAATTTTTTTTCCTTACCACTTGATGACCTGAAAGAGTTTAGGGACATCTCTGATGTGTATGTTTCATTGTGCACCTCCGTTTCCCAACCCACTATCTCCATACTGTCAGCTTTCGTTTCCTCAACTCATTGTCATTTCCATGGAGACTGCTCTCACGGAGGCTAATGGTAACTATCCTCTTAATTACCATATCCAGTGGGCTCTTTCAGGTCCTTGTTATGTTGGGCCTTCTTGATACATTTGATGTGGCTTCTCCAAGAAACTCCCAACACCCCTGACTTTCTGAACACCGCAGTCTTCTAGTTCTCCCTGTCTCTCTGATTGTTTCTTCCTGGTCTTCTCAATGCGCTTTTGTTCTCTGCCATCCTCGGCAAGACTTGGGGTTGTTCAATGTTCCATTTTCACCTCCAAGGTGATATTCATTCCCATTGTTTTAAATCTCACCTATGGGCTGACTTCCAGACACCTCTTTCCAACCCTGACCTCAGGTCCCCTAGCTTCTGGCTATTTAACATTTTCCCACAAATGTCTCATAGGTATTTCAACCTCAATGTAGGCAACAGGAGTTAACATATCCCCCAACCCTACGCCATTTTTTATTGACGGTTTCACAGAGAAATCTTACCTCGTTCTCTGGGTCCCCTCACTTCCTATCAATCACTAGGTACTGACTTTCCCGCCAAATATTATCTCGACATCCCTCATTCTCTTTCTCTTTGTTCTAATTCCAGCCCATGTGTCCCCTAAAATTCATATATTGAAGTTCTAGCCCCAGGAACCTCAGAATGTGACCGTATTTGGCAATGGGGTCATTGCAGAGGTAGTAAGCTGAGATGAGGTCATACTGGCCTGGGGTGGGCCCCCTAATCTAAGATGACTGGTGTCTTATAAAAAGGAGGAACTTGGGCACAGACACAAGCACAGGAAGTACATCATGTGAAGATTAAAGTTAATGCTGCCACAGCCAAGGAGCTACCAGAGGCCAGCAGAGAGTCCTGGAGCAGATCCTTCCTGAGCACATTCAGAGGGAGTACAGCCTTGATCCCTAACTTTTAGCCTCCAGAACTGTGAGACAATACATTTCTGTTGTTGAAGCCACCCGGTTTGTGGTTCTTCATTACAGCAGCCCTAGCTAATGGATACAGGCTTCCTTTCCCATCTTGTTTGTCTCCAGTTTCGCATCCAGTGCCTCCCTGCAGAGGGCGTGATCTGAGATACACGTCTGGCTCTGCCCATCACCAGTTTAAAAACCATTCAATGCCAACCCACCTCCCATTGTTTACAAATTATATTCCAGTTTCCTTAGCATAGTTTACAAGTCTCGCCTAATTCAATTCACTCTTTCCACTCCAGCAACGTTGACTGAGGGGGCTGCTTCTAAGTGAGTCACATCATTTCAAGCTGTTGACCTTGGCCCATTTCCCATCTATAATGCTCACTCCCTCACCTATCTACTCTTTTCATCCTTTAAAATTTAGTTCAGGCATTCCCAGAGAACCGCTCCTGATATTGCCCCACCCCCATTCTGCACCACCAGCACCGGCTTCCTGATGGAGTGGGTGTGATCCTCTTTGATACTGGGCACCCTCTGCATATCTAACTCATAGTAGTTTCTGCATTTTATTAAAATAATCGCTGCATCTCTCTGGAATAGTGCGCATGTGCGTGCCTGTGCATTTAAGCACATGTATTTAATATAAGATCATTTCTCCAAGGAGTTGATAGGGGGCGTACAGGAGGTAGGTGTTTATGGCTCGCGGTAGATTACAGATAGGTCGGTGTTACCATCCAAACCAGGAGGCTTATTATCTCCAAAACTTCTTTTTCTCCGTTGCGGTTTTACCATCAGAGAAGCCAGGGTTGAGGGGTTGGGGAGGCACAAAACCAAGATTTCCCCACCCCTCCAAGCCCCACCATAAGCCCTCCTAAAGAATGCCGGACTGGCCTACGCCAACAAGACATCCCATAGGAAATGGCTCATTGCCCTCCATCTAATGTACTGAATGCCGTGGGAGCTCCAAGGTCATGCAGCCTTTTGGGGGAGGGGGCAGCAGCCGGGCAGGAGGCACACAGAGTGAAGAAATACATTCAACACTAATGCCGGAATTCACTGAGATGCTTCCCACGGTAGCTGAGCTTTCTCCCCTCCTCCCTCCCCAAAGGCACTCTGGCCCTCACCTCCCCCTCCTTCTCTTTTGAAAGCCCCGGGTCCCTTCTCCAGACCCTGCCTTACCCTCTGGTCTCCTACCTGTCTGGATCAGAAGCAAGTAGACAAAAGGAGCGAGGCGCAGGGCACCGAAGGCTCTGGACAGGGCTTCCCTTTCTCTCTTCATTTTGGGTGGCGTTCTCCAGCTCTGGTGCAGACAATTAGCATGATTTCTCCACTCTGGGCACGTCCCTTTGTACCACTCGGAGTTTCTCTGCCCGAACACAACCCTGCCAAGTTCCCTCTGAATACACAGAGCTCTGTGTGTTACTGGACTTGTTCTTTCCTCTCTTTCAGACCTGGCATTTTCTAGTTTCAAAGCTCTACACCCCGAGTTCGGAAGAGGCTATCTGCTTAGGAGATAATCTCTAGTGTGGGTCCCAGTCTGATGGGTCACAGCAGCCCAACAGCTCTTCGCCTGCCCGCGCTGAGCCCCGCTACCAGGGGAAGATGAGGATTTGGGTTCAATGGCGACTAGGCTGGGACTAACTGGACCTTGCCTGTTCCAACTTATCCTGTCTCCACCCCGCACTCCCTGTTCCTGCAAAGGAGGGTGTGTGCCAGGGACAGACCTCCAATAAGCTCCAAAAGGGAGGGAGAGGTTTTAAAAAGTTGGGGAATGAGAGAGTCCAGAAACTGCTAAAGACATGGAAAACCCCTGTCCCACCCCAAGGGAAGAAGATTGGAAACTGGCTTGAATTCTATTATTTTCATACCTGTCCTGGTCCCCTCTCTCCTATCATAGAATCATGTAGGTGCTGGGGACCTTTTCCCAGAAGCCACTATATTCATTCCCTGCCTCCAGCCAAAGTTCCAGAACAGGTCAGAGCAAAGATGAAGGTATAATACCCTGGGAGCCAGCATCCTGGGGTTCTGTCACTTGCTACAGCCCAGCTGGTTCCTCAAGTCTTGAGGCTGCAATGAGGAGGAACGCCCCAGCTCTACTCTGACCCCATCATTACCACGTCCACCCCTTCTCATGAGGGTTGTCAGTGGATGTCTGCGTGTGGTCTGGGGACAGGTACATACCCTTGTTAAGCCTCCGATTTCACATCTGTAAAATGGGGTGAACAGTAGCTTCCTTGTGGGAATAGTTGAGAGGATTGATGAAGATTTAGTACAGTAGCATGCCTAGGAAGTTCTTTGTTAGAGAGATAACATTTGAAATTAAAAAAAAAACCTTCTTCTTCTTCTTTTTCATTTCTTTAGGGAGCTTTATATCTTAGTGAGACCAAAGTGTCCATCTCCCCTCTTGGTTGTCTCTAATGCTGGTCTTAGAATTGTAAATGCGGTAGTTATCTCTCAAAGTATACTTTTTATATACTGGAGAAAGCCTGTGTAAGCCAGGTTTTTAGACCTGAAGACTCAGTGCACAGCCCATTTGAACAAAAGGATGGGAAGAAGAGGTGGGAAATGTTGGTTTTGAAGTTCACAGAGGAACTCCAAAAAATATTCTGACAAATCAGATTTTTTTTCCCTTTTGCATCTTTATGGTTATGGCTTTTCCCCTGACAGTTTCCAATCTTCTTCCCTTGGGGTGGGACAGGGATTTTCCATGTCTTCAAGGCACCTGTCTGCCTCTCGTAGAGTTAATGTTGTTTCAGCAGGTGTATAATGAAAAAGAGAGAGAAGCGTAATATTTAGCTTCTGATATCAAACATAGTATTTTACAGTCAGTGGCAAGAAGAAAGGCTTGTAAGGAACAAAAGGGTATTTTCATTTCTTTCACCTGCTCATTTGATTTATCACGGAGCAGCCTGTGGACCAGATCATAGTGTTCTTCTATAGTACAGACAAATAGCCTCTTTGGCCTGTGATGGTTAGGCCTCGAGGCTTATCGTCAGAGATAAAAGGAGGATATGATGTTCAGGAAATAGAAAGCCTGAAGTCTGCCTTTGTCATTCTGAAGGACTGTGGAAAGAGAACTGTGACAGAGGAGACATAGGCGGGCTCTAAGTTCTCCACATGCCCCCTCCCCTGCTGTAGGGATGAACTTGAGGCTCCTCATACCCACACAGAGTACGCAAATGCCCCAAAGTGCCCACATGCTCCCTTGAGGGGACCTTGAGGTGCTAGAGGGTAAAGAACTGCCAGAGGACGGGACAGGGAGCAAAGGGGCCACACACGGCCGTGGTGGGAGTCGGTGTGCAGCCCCTCAGACCAGGAGCAATCTAGACTCAGAGACCAGAGGGAATCCTGAGAAGGTCACACAGGTCCCCAGACACCATCTCCCCCGGTTGTCACAAGGACCCCCCTAAGCCACACCACCCACACTCACCCCAGCCCTTCTCAGAGAGGAGCTGTGGTGGGGGAGGAAACTGGAGAGGCTGGTTGATCCAAGCAGAGACTGAGCTACTTTGAGAGAATAATCCGAGTGGTTGGGTTAGAATGCGTTTACCAAGATGCACCGACATTTGGTTTTCCTCTGCTGCCCTGAGGGGTGAGAGGCTCACGTGCGAGATCCCAGCAGCTGCAAAGGCACAAACGTACACTGTGCCTTTGCATGTCTGAATGGAGAAGGAGCAATTTTGCAATACTGCTTCAAGTCTTTTTAGAAGCGTATATCATCTGCTTATGTGCCTTTCTCATCTCAAAATCAGAGAGCTCTTCGATTGAAGGACAGTGTCTTACTGGTCTCTGCAGCCCTGCTGTCTAACACAGGGCGGGGGCACATAGTAGGTGCTCAACAGGCAGCTGCTGAATTGGAAGGGTGAGAAGCCGGGGGGCTTCACAAGCAGCTGGGTTAGGGCAGCTGTGGGGAGGGTGGCTGGGCCAGAGGAGTGAGGGCAGTCACCAAATAGTGACTGAAGTTGACAGACTGTTGTGTGAGCACCTATGAGGCACGCTTTTGTGAATTCCCAGAAATAACTGGGACTCACATTGAGGGGAGCCGCTGATCCAGTAGGCAAGTGGGTTACAGAGACAGAAGACAACAGTCAAGCCAGCTTATTCTCACCCACCACCGATCTCTCTTGTCCTAGCTGACCTTGTGTTAGCCTTCCATGTATTCTTTGGGATTTTCCCTGTGGGTGTGTCTGTCCCATATAATTGTTGATGATTCAGGCTGGATTTTTTTTTTGGTAGGGATATCCTGATTATAAAAACTACATTTCTTTAGCTTCAAAAGTATGTTTATACTTGTCAGTCTGCATGTCCCACTTTGGGATCAGAAAATGTGGTTATTGTGGCCATCTCCTCATTAGCCTGGGAGACTCTCCAGGGCAGGGAGGCAGGGACAGTATCTCTTCGTTCTTACGGGTCTCCTCCCAGGGTCAGCTCTGAGCTCTGCACTACGTGGTTATGAAACAGTGGTGCAGATGTCCTGCCTGACTGACGGCAGTAATGCCTTGGCTTAGCCGAGGCTCATGCCCCTTCCTCCACTGAGCACTTCAGCAGGTGCATTTCTGAGGGCGCTGTCCTCTCCTGAGCAGCGTGGCCCCGTCCTCTCGGCCCTTCTGCTGCACACAGTTGCTTCAGGCCACTCTTGCTTGGCACCTGGGTAGGGGCTCTGGGATTCTGACTCCACACCCGTGCACTCGTGCAACCCTGGCCTCTGTGATGAGCACCCAGACCGCCAGACATGCCCCTGCAGCTCAGAACAGAAACTCTCCTCCAAAACAGACA